CTCCAACTTGACTCTGCGCCATTCACCACAACCCTCTGAGCTCGACCATCCAGCCAGTTCTCAATCCACCTCACCGTCCACTCATCTAGCCCACACTTCCTGAGCTTACCTAGGAGGATGTGATGGGAGACAGCATCAAAAGCCTTGCTGAAGGCCAGGGAGACAACATCCACTGCTCTGCCCTCATCTACCCAGCCAGTCATTCCATCCGAGAAGGCTAGCAGATTGGTCAAGCATGAGTCCCCTTTGGTGAATCCATGCTGACTACTCCTGATCACCTTCTTGTCCTCCACATGCTTAGAGATGAGCTGTTCCATCACCTTTCCAGGGATGGAGGGGAGGCTGACAGGCCTGGAGTTCCCTGGATCCTCCTTCTGGCCCTTTTGGAAGACTGGAGTGACATTGAGGCCTGGAAGAAAGCCAGGCACCTCTCCTGATCTCCAGGACCTTGCCAAGAGGACGGAGAGTGGCCTAGCATAACATCCACCAGCTCCCTCAGCACTCGTGGGTGCACCCCATCGGGGCCCATGGATTTATGGAGGTCAAATTTGCCCAGATGATCTCTAACCTGATCCTCCTCAACCAAGGGAGAGTCTTCCTTTCTCCAGACTTTCTCTTGTCTCCAGGATCTGGAAGTCCTGAGGGCCAGCCTTAGTAGCAAAGACTGACAAATGAACCCAAAACAGCAAAAGATAATGAAGCAGTAGGAGAGCAAGGGTTGTACACTCTGCCCAGAGAGCAGTGCCAAGCAAAAGTAAAACCTTGTTTTTGCCTAATGGGAGCACTAGTAGGCATCCTAATCCCCTGCTTAAGAAGGGAGGCAGGAAAATTTTAACACTCAAGCTCGTGGTGTACTGGAAGGGAAAAGCTGAATAGGGCAGCTTTGGCCAGCACTGCAACCACAGGTTGCCACTGGATACAGGAATACACAGGACAGACAGCCAGGATCAAGCCTTCCTGCTTCAGCAGTGCACACTAGGGACAAGGCTGGTTCCTCTTCTGCTGTACCTACTCTGTTGGGAAGAGCCCTGTTCCGGCAATGCATAGTCCAAGTTTTCCCCACATCTAGTCATCTTCCTACTAGATTGGCTCCATTACCTGACGGCAAGGAGGCTCTGCAAAGCAGACTCTGAAGAGCAATTTCAAAGCCAGGCTGGCCAAGATTTCTTTGGAAACTGCAGGTTGCAGAGAGCATGTGATATGCAGACACTGGAGCTGAACTGGCTCCACAGAGACCTTGACTCCTGCCCATCTGGACCTCTACTATATCCATTTTCCATGACCCTTGAGGCTCCAAAAGGCACAGAGATTCAGATGAAAACCAAAGACCTCTAGGACTGCCCTACCTCAGTTTCTTCACCAACCTGCAGCCTCCCCTGGGGCATCCCTATCCTCATCTCTGGTTCACAATTTCTCTTTCAAATTGCAGAACCCCTCAGGCCTGAACAGCATCAGAACATCCCTCCTTTACTCTCTGCACAGACAGCACACAGCACAGCCCTCATCGCATACAGCCAACTCCACAAATAGCAAGGCAACTGTAGTTTCATCTCAAACACCGGCTTTTTTGAACTGGAGCCATGGCCTTATGCCTAAGCTACAAAAGCTTAAGACACGCACTTGAAAAACAAACGTGTGGTTGCCTGTGGGACTTGTGCTCTGCCAGGGGCTGTCCTGCATTGCAGCCTGTCTCATTTCCTTTTCATACTGCCAAATAGGCAGCACAGACCCTTTTCCCCAGTATTTCACAACTGCCTGCTCTCCACAGGCAGCACAGAGGAGAAAACCAGGGGAAACCGATATGCTGGGAACTGCCCAAGCACTGGGTGAAATGAAACACAGGACATGAGAAATCAAATGCCCTTTCCATTTCTGATGCTGATTTTGCTTTAAAATGATTTAGAAAAACAGTTTAAAGGAAGTATTTCCATACAGTTGTATATAATCTCTTTGTATATCCCACACACATCTTCAAATCCCAAAGTTTCCCCTCTCCCTTTCTACCTTTCCTCCCTTTATCAGGGTGTTCTGGGAAATTCCAGTCTTGCTACAACCAGTAGCAGAACAGGAGAAATCTCTCATGCAGGGCAAGTGCCACGTCTCCAACAGCATACAACCAGCCATACACATCCTTCAGCTGTGCTGCATGAGTGTTCGATCCAGCTCAGCAGTTCCCAATTTTTTGCTCACTGCTTTATCAGACATGTTAGCCACCAGCCATGCAGAGGGCTTGGGAAAACTCTCCTGTTTTTAAGCTGTACAGAGAAAGCCCAGTCTTTTGCCGCTGTTCCAGGAACTGGCTTGAGAGCAAGGAAAAGATGACCCTTTATGACTGCACAGCAGCTATGCTCTACTCTCTGAAAAACAGTTTGAGGGCAGGCGTACTGTTGGTGTTAGAGCAGCAAACATTTCCAGTTTGCCCAACTGGCTCCTTCACTCCCCATAGCCATTTTTGTATACCACAAAGGGCAGGATTGTCATGCTTTGCCAAAATAACTAATGGACAGGGATCGCTGTGCCTCAAACATCCAGCTCCCTCATTAAATGTTTCAGTAACAGAGCCCCTGTTCAGGTATTGCGACTGGTGCATGGCCTTCTCTGCACTTCTGCCTGGATGTCAGCTCTGGGTGATGCTGCCTGTTGCTCCACCTCACTCACCAAAAACCCTGCTCTCTCCAGCAACAGACCCTGACTGTGGAAATGCTCATCCTCCATGCTGCTGATGAAGGCAGACAGCATCAGATCCCCTTCACCTGTAGAGATGCATCCCTTATTTCCTCTCACAGCAAACAGGTGCTGTTTAACCCAGAAGCGTTTTTCCTTGGTCAACCCCAACACCAGTTCCTTACAGATGCCTCCCAGAGGCAGGTACTTTCTACAGTCTCCTTTCTTGCTTCCTTATACCATATGCTTTGATTTCTAAACAGAGTATGAGAGCTGACTCCAGTAAGCTGCCAATTCACTTTCAGTGGGGCAGTCAGGGGAACTGAGGTAACATCAATACATTCATCCACCAGCATGACACTCCTGTGAGGAGGAGGAGGAGGAGGAGAATAATAGCCTTCCTTCCTCAAGAGCAAACCTCAGCAAGACAGCAGAAGCCACTCTCCTCCAGGAGACCTCGAAGGCTGAGTCTGCTCTCCTCAGAAAAACCATCTCCTCCCAGGCAGTGCCTGGCAAGTTTCAGTCTGCAGTGAGTTAGCAAAAAGCTCCGAGTCCGAGATATTTCAGTTCAATGCAAAACCACTTGTCTTGGCAAGTCTGAACAAACCATAGACCACCTCTGACAATCACTTCTCATTTAAAACAAGCTTCATTCCCAAGGCACCCAAGACAACCCATAGGGACAGCAGCATCTGACAGATTATCACTGTTCAGCTGGGTCTAGAAAGGCAAACTAGTCTCTTATTTTATAATCCCTTGACTCTGAGCCAAAGAATGCATTTTGATCACTAAAAAGTTATTCCCCATTGAAAAAAATCCATTATTGCTAAGTTTTACTTTGGCCTTTCAAAACGAACTATTTTGGAAATAACTATATTCTACAGAAACATAGCTATGTTAAACACAAGTTTCCTATTTAAAAAAAGCCTTCCTGCAGGAAATTTCAAAAATAAGTCAAATACAGCAAGAAGTAAAGCTAAGTTAATGCTTACTAGTGCATTAAGAAGAAAGCTCATTGAAATTTGAATACAGCTAGAATTGTCTGGATTTCCTTGTGAAACCAAAATGGAAGGAACCAAGAGCATCTCAGGTTGAATTTCTGATCAACCCAAAACAAACTCTTTACCTTCCACTTGGAAGGTTTACCCATAATCAAAAAGACAAGCACAATATATAGGTGATAAGCTGTTCCTCCTCTCTCACCCTGTATCAAGCTCCCTAAAGGTTACCACCCTCATTCACAACATGAGGGCTTCAAGTTCAGCTCCCACCCTCTGCCAGGTGGCATTGGATTCATTATATTGAATTTCTCTCCATCTCTTCTAGTTGGGCTCTTCTACTGCACAATGCCAGAAGCCTCTACAATAACTGTGCTAGAAAACAGATGATCTTTGTGAAATGACTGTTCAGACAGGGAAAGGAAGTGAAGCTACCTCACCTGTGCCCTTTAGAAAAGGGCCCTAGCCACTATGTTCAGCATGAACAACCACCCTGTTTTATTTTGGGAATCTGCCCTTGTCGTTTTTTGGCTTTTTAAGCTAAAACCTTATAACAGCTCTGACCTAAATTTGCTAGCACTTTTAGACTGATCCCAACTACCTTTTTTGACACCAACTATTTGCTGGAAGTGTTTTGTCAAGCTCTGCACAGAATTAAACACGCAACCTCTTCTCTTCTGCTGCCTTATCCATTGCTGTCTTTCTGCAATTAATTTAGCCAAACCCTGCTCATGGATACCACGATACTCTCCGGAAAGGAACATGGCAGACCATGGGCTGCAGAGGCACTCAGCAGAGCAAGGGGGCTGTGTGCCCATGGAAAGCTTTGCTGAGCAGGGTCTCTCCAGGCTTAGAGTCACACTCCATTTTCCATTCTAACATGAACCCAGGCACATCCCTACAATCACTCTTCCTAGGAATGGGACCTATTCATGAGGCAATGGAATTATCTACTGGGCTGGTGAAGGCAATTTGAAGATCTAGACTACATCCTCAAAGTTACCAACATTGGCAAGGTGGCTGGCGACAGCAGCAGTCAGAGCACACCTGGCTCACCCCAGGAGCCCCCTAGCAAAAACATAGGGCTATGCAACCAAAACAGATATTCTACTCTCATCTTTGTCACAAGCATTGCAAGCAATCCTACCCACCCAACGCTTCTCTGCTCTTCTAGCATATCCACCACACACCCTCTACAAACAGGGCAATATTCCTCTGCTTCTTTGGGTGTTGAGACAAAATTGGCTATGCTTGTGGAAGCCTGGCAAGATCCTCATTTGAGGAAGGTCAAATATCTGGCTCAGTCATTCAGCTTTTGACTTCTCCCAAAGCAATTCCAACACAACACAAGACTTGATCACTGAAGGAATCTGCCGAGGAAAACAACGTGTGTGTTCTATGTGTCATGCTGAATCAGCTCCATCTCCCCACACCCTTATGCATCCCAACAAAGACAGTAGGTGCTGCATGCCACCCCTCTGCAACAGGATAATATATCACTAACATATTCACCACTCGCAAATTGAGCTCCTCCCCTTAACAACCCAACTCCAAGGCTTTTCTGCTCCCAGCAGCTTACTTTAGCTGTCCAAAGCTGACAGCTCCCAATTCTGTTCCTGTGACTTGCAGCAAGATTCAAGGGTGGCGTTCAGTCTTTGAAATATGTTAACCCAGCCCTCACGGGTAACTAGATTTCCACATTGCCAAAATGCTGCTCATACAGCCTTCCCCAACTATACGATCACCTTTGCAATCAGGACAAAACACTTCTCGATAATCTGTTTTGCACAGGGTTTTTGGAGGTTGATCACTAGGACAGAGTTGGTATCTTATTATACAAGTTGGTATCTTGTAGTACAAAAATCTGTGCTGTAAAGCACAACCAAAAAAAAAAACCTGGCTTAACAGAGTCTTTCTACAGTTTATTGCCCCAGCCAACATCGCAGAAAGAGTCCCCTGTTCTCAACAAGCTTTAGAGGAATTAGCAGGGCTGCTCACTACAGAAGGACACGACAACCTGCATGACGATGGAAGAGACCATCCCAGTTTAAGGGAAATATTAAGTATTTGGCCACTGATTGCTTCCAGATTAGGATAAGGTTTTACAATTTCTACATCTTTTTTACTTCTCAGACTTTCACTACCAGATGGATTAGTTATAGATTGGTGCCTTATTCTGTTAGTTCAGTCCTAGAATACAGCAATAGGCCTCTGCTTTTCAGCCACTGAGAAATGCTCTCCCTCCCTTCCCCTTTGACAGGTTGAAATCTACTCTAGCAGTGATACTAGACAAGCAGCTAAAATCCACCTGGTTTCTTCAGTCCGATTTTCATTCCAAGGTGGGGTGGGTGAAATGGTCTGGTGCCAGGTTTGGTACAACTCCCAGCAGATCCTGCACAGATTAACACTATGCTGGCTGCATGCAAAGCCCCACTAAAATCAACATGAGCAGAAGCAGCTACTTTTACTACTTTACCCCACTCACCTAATGCACCATGCTGTGAGCTCAGCCGTCGTCACTGCAGCACGTCCTAAATAGGGCAGCACAAGGGGCAGATCAGAGTTAGCAGGCAGTAAGAGGATCCTCACTTGGCCCCCCTCTTCAACCTTGGGGTCCAGAGACCTCCTTGATTTGTCACCACACCCTGCTGTCAAGCAGCCCAGGGAATTCTTGGAAGACAAATGTGTTCTGGGTAAGAAGGAAGTATCAGAAGGATTAGCGATGCTCCGAAGGCAATTCAAGTCATAAGTAAAGTCCAAGTTAGTACTATTCTTCTCAGTCCCCAGGCAAAGCCCAGAAACTGCCCTACAAATCCATGCATTACACAGGCATACCACCCAAGCTGCCAAGTGACAAGTCAGATGACAGTGTTGCACTCACCCCTGGGTACCAGCGACAGGTCCGTGAGGAGCCCTCTGTCTGGGAGATGTGATGTCCTGAGCGTCACAACACAATGTGCAGCATCTCAGCAGGCTTGAGACTTTATCGCCCAAATTAGGAAAGCAAGGAGTCATAGGCAAGTCAGAACAAACGAGTCCAGCAAGTCTCAGTGACAAAGGCTTAGCCAGTAGCATGATTCCTCCTCTAAAACAATAACAACAGTACACTTCTTTCATCTTACCTTTCATCCAGGAATCCCAAAGCCTTTTCAGAGTATTAACTACACCCTGCAACACCCCAAATCAGAAGAGCCATGAAAATTTTGCAAGGACAGTATATTTCCTCCTTTACTACAATTAAAAACAATCAGAAGTTATGGGCAGGACCAATGCGGAGAATTTGCATATACTGAAGAGACTGTGTTCAGTCCCAGGGCAGATGCGGAGCTGACATAAATCAAGGTAGCTTCAGTGACATATGCCTCTGAACTGCCTCGGAACTTCCTTGAACTGCATAGTTTGGCCAGACAAAAGCTTGTCCCTGGTAACAGTAGGTACATTCAAGTTTATGATTCTCCTTTAACTCCCTGAAAGCCAGTTTTAATTGTGGTCACCTAGCTGCAGGTATTTCTGCCCAGCAAAAATTCTTCTCGGTCAAGCATTTGTGATACAAGTAATTTACAAATTGTGGAGATGAGCATTTCTACTTGTGCTAGTTACAGCAAGTTAATTGCTAAGTCAGTTAGCCGAGGCACAAACCTGAGCCTAAGGTAGCATTTCTCAGTCTTCTCTGGCTGGCAATCCTTTTTTTCAAATTTAAGTTTGACAGTTCCACTAAATTTACTCCAAGATCAATAGATACAAACAGAGATTTGTTGTGGAAGGCAAGTAAGCAGAACAGAACAGATACACGTGGTATAGATTTTTTGTTTTATCGCAATGAAGTTTCTAATACCTAGAGATTCTTCCCCTCCCTCCTGAATTGTCCTCATTTGACACCTCTGCAGCCTAGGACTTGCCAGCTGAGAAACGCCCTGCTCCCAACACATCTTATATGGCTGGATTACTTCTTCCCAGGCCATGTTCAGTCCATACCCACCTAATAAGCAACACAGTCTTTCTGCGAAGGCCAGTTTCTTTTGAATGAAACACATACCAAAGATGAGCCTCAACTTCTCATTATTTGGGTTCAGTCAAGGTCTCAGAATAACTTGTTCTGAAATATTATGATACAGCTGCTACTAACACATATTATGTAACTGCCTCTCAATGCTTTAAAAGGAAGCTACATTGCCCTCCCATAAAGGCATGCTTCTATTGAGTCAAGCCAGGTGCGTAAGAGAAATGCGGGCAGAAGCCTTGCTAGAGGGTGAGATTTTTTGAGGTTAATGCATCTAGTGTCATACAATTTCCTGGCCAGGGTGTAGGTTGTGTGGATATTCATTCATTCCAGGCAGCCCACAGTCTTCAGACAGAGCCTGGCCTTTTGACTATTACAGCACAGGTGGAAAAAAGCACCATGACAGAGGCCTCATGGGAATCCCTGAACAGTCTCACCTGCAGGCAAAACAACCCAGTGCTGCTGCAGTAGAGGGGGTAACTAAGGAGGTTTTCAGAAGCACAGAAAAGCTGCTCCAGATGTAATTTTATGACAGAAAGGCATCAAACTGGTGAAGGATGTAATAATTTGGATTCACAAGCCCTTCTTTATAGAAAGTGACTATGCATCATCTTTTGCTGCCAATACCTCCTTGGGGCAGAAATGGCACCTGGAAGGAAGGGACAGGCAATAGCCATTGCTGATTCAGTTACCAGGTACCTAACTGGTTTAGCTCATGTATTATTTGCCTTCTGGTCCAATACTAATGAACCTCACGAGGAGGCTGGACAAGTTGTGAAACACGGCTGAGGAGCCAGTGGTTGTAGTCCATGTGGGTAAACAGATAAAAGGAAAGGAAAGGAGGGAGATTCTGGAGACAGAATGTAGGATGTCAGGTAGGAAGACCAAGACGCCCTATATAACATGGGCTGCGGCTGGAAGGGAGGCAAAGCATCAGTGTGTGACTAAAGCAACAGTGTCAGGGAGAGAAGTTCAGACTCAGCAGGGACGAAGGAAGCTTCTAAAGTAGCAGGACCCTAACAAAGGAAGGCCAGATTTCACCTGAACTGAGAGGGAAACATCTGCACCTCACATCAAGACGACCATATGGAAACTTCAGATTGAAAAGTAGGAGAAAGGCTGGGGCAGAGGAGGCACTGTTCTGAATCCTAAGGTAGACACCACATCCTCAAGTACAGAACAGGACAGAAGTTGGCAAAAATCAAATAGGAAACCAAGTCAAAAGAGTCCCATGTAAACAGGATAGAGAGAAACAAAGCCAAAGCAGCAATTCCCATGTTTTACAGAATTGGCTAAGAAATATGTTAGTGCACACACAAAAGGCTTAAACAAGGACAAGGACACAGTAGGCATAAAGGAAGCTTTGGTGGCAGGAAGACAGTGGAATGCTGAAACATCAAGGAACAATTATTTCCAATCATTTCAATTACTCTCAGGTAACATGTGAAAACTTGACATTGAGTACTGAGATAACACTAGATTTCTACATACTGTTAGTGACTGACTCAAACTGGTAGTCAGGGAACCCACAAGAAGGGAAGCAACTCTCATTTCAGGCCTGAACAGCATGCAGGATAAGTCTATGACATTATTGCCAAATACTTCAACTACAACAGCATCTAGTTGATGGAATTTTTACGGGAGACCCAAAGCCTCAAGATCCACTGCTGCAATTTTCAATTTCAAAGAGAAGAATCACATAAAAGTGGAAAAATAAATAAGAACATAAAAGCAGCACCTTGGGGAACCGATTTTTTTTTTTCAGGAGACAGACTATTTGAAGATATCATGCTAGTCTCAGATCAGAAATGTCCTGCCCAAAGAAAGAAGCCTTGAGAAAGCCCAATGCTAAACATCAGGGCAAAAAAAACAACACATTGGGGAAAAAGAAAGCGTACTTCAGAAAAGCTGAAAAATGGAAAGGATTATAAATTCAGGTAGTTGAACCACAAAAACCCAATTAGGCAGGCTCAAAGTAGAATAATCTAGCTGTTCTGAAGTGTCAGTAGAAAAGACTACAGGGCAGGGAAGCCAACAACAAAATGAACAGTAACAAGTGACCAAGCCCAAGCAGCATTCAGCCAGAGTGAAGGATGGAAAAACCAGAATGACTGACTATGGTTGCAACCTCTCACCTAACACTACTTTACCTCCCAGAGGCCTGGGAGAAGTCTTTCAAAAAATGTTCTAGATCAAACATGGGGAACCTCTGACAATGAAGTATGCTCTCTTTGCTGACCAAATTAGTACAAGTGACTACATAACAGAAGTAGCAGGTATTTCCATAAATATGCTACATGGGATGGAATCATCATGGCTTTTGTAAAGCAAAGTCCTGCCTTGCAAACCTACTTAAATTCTTGAGTCAGCCAGACGAAGCACAAGGGAGGTCTGGCTGATGTTGCCTACTCCAATTTCCAAAAGGCATTAAACAAGGTCTCTCACGAAAGCCTCTTAAAGGAACTGAGCTGCCATGGGATAAGGCGGCTTAAGATGGGAAACTAGTTAAAAGAGAACAATTGAAGAGCAGAAATAAATGATTACTTTTTGGATGAAGCCAGGTCATGATCTCACAGGAAGATTCATAAATGATCTAGAAAAGAAATTAGCAAGATGATTATTTTCCCCATGATATCTACTTATAGCAGTAAAAAGGAAAGCTAAACACAGCAAGCTGCAGAAGCATCTTATAATACCAAGGGACTGTATGATAAAATAGATCAACTTGGGAACAGGTAGGTGTGAAGTGCCACACATGCTGAAGTGTGTCCTAACCTTAAAGTGATAAGTGCCAAGTCGGTAATTCTTTTCAGGAATAAGATTGAGACAAAGAGTCCTATAAGAACATCAATTCACTAGCAGTCCAAAACAAGAGGAAACTCTAGGAATTACTTGGAAAGGGAATAGAGAAACAAGTAGAAAACAAACTTATGTCACAGAATTAATCCACAGCACACCTGTATCCTAAATACGACAGGAATTTCTGGACCCCCATTTCTCCATCTCAAAACAAATACAGAGGAATTAAATTGTAGACGGTCCTGAAAAAGACAATAGAGCTGACCAAAGGAACAGAACAGCTTCTGTATACAGCATGACTGAAGGGACTGGGATTCTGCAACTTGAAAAAGGTGCAGAGGGAGGGAAGGGAGGACTATAGTGTGTGGAACTGAGGAGGTGAACAAAGAATGACTGTTCATTGCTCCTTCTAACAACAAGAACTAGGGGACTTCTAACAAGACTGGCAGGTTTAAAACAAAACCTAAAAGATGCCTGTTCACTGTATGACAGTGTAAGGCATGAGACTCCTTCCTGCAAGGTATGCAAAATGCTATGTGTTTTACAATTTAAAAATGAGATGAGTCAATATAGTGGAAGAAAATCCTCATAGAGTTTCCCTAGGCACCCGCCATTGGCTGCTCCCTAACTCCCTGTTCATTTGACTGCCAGGAATTCTTTCTTAATAATGAAGTACTTTTAGTCCTGTGAGGTAATAACTTCCAGCTTAGGATCAACGTTCCTCCCCACCTGTCTCCTGAACAAAACATGGTCTGACCTACCTAGCTAGCTCACTAGCCAGCCACAGGAAGGATGCATTGGTCTTGTTGCTCTTGAGACAGGTAAGGACAGCAAGGCAGTCATTGCATCAGAAGAGCCAAGATATCAAGTTTCTCAGCAATCCATAGCTCATTTAGCTCGGGTTGCAGGGGAAGCTTGTGCTTTGCAGCAAGCACCCAATCCTGGCTACAGATTACAGGCATCCTTAAAGCTGATAGCAAGAGATAGCACACAAGGCTTCAAAAACTAAGCCTTTAAACTGCAAAAAGGGGCTGTGGCGCCAGGTACGGCAAATGGCATTCTTACTATCTGAAAGAAGCTAAGTGATGTCACAAAAGCAACAACTTTTCAGGTTCTGCACAGAAGTCAAAT